AAATTTTTAATTGTCCCGTGACAAACTGTGTAATATCACAAGCTCTCTCGGATACTCCTGTAGCTCTCTCATTTTTTTCTGTGCAAAAGAAACCAAGTCGTACACGATTGTTTGAAGAAGAGAATTTCCTATGATAAACTATAACGGAAAGAGAAACCTAGATCTTGTTAGCTTTTATACAACAGAATCTGAACAACGCTAGCTTCTGGCCGAGTCGAAACACATCCATGGATTTTCTTGTTATGTCTTGTGTAAAATCCATCAACATAACGCAATCAACTTTATCTCTCAAGCAACCCTCCACATCATTTTCAACTAGTTTTGAAAGGTGGGGGAAGAGATAGAAGGGATAGGAAGAAGCGGGCTATCTTTTGAGTCAATTCATTGTGTGCGTGTGTCTAGATTAATTTTTCTGTGTTTGTTTATTTTTTCTCAGTCTTAGAGCATAATCGCTCGTTATCATATGACCTTGCACTCAAACAGAGTTTGATGACAGCTTCCACATTGTATCAAAGTTTGCCTTTGGCAAACTCATTGAAAGATGTGTTATCACTAAAAAAAACCCGTTTTCTAGGGTCGATATCAAAACATTTCTCCTTATCAGACAATTTTTATTACAGTTTACTAATATGTAATCTGATAGAATCGCCGTGTTCTTGACAAGTTTTCGTATCAATCTTTCAGTATGTGAGGGCCTGTTTACACACAGACAGCCCAAGCTCATGTCTCGAGAAAAAGCCGACTAATTCATGAAAGCGTCACTCGTTGTGTGACACGGTGTTAAGTTACGAGAGGAACCGTTGAAAATTTGAACACGTTATAAGGAATAGCATGAAGAACGAAATATGGTCAATTTACAACGATAAATATTTCGAAGTATGAACATTTTACGCGTAAAATCAATAAAACTTACTCGCATCCCGTGTGTCTGTTGTAGTTTTTGGCGATTTCTGCTGTTTTAAGCTTGCTTTACCATCACTGTTATTCACGTCGCCTTTTGACATGACAACGTCTCAAGGTGGGGTAACCCGCCCAGCCGGGGTCGCTTTCATGGCAAAAGGCTAAAAAGCGGAACATTTAAACATTTGTTGCTATTTGCTGTCGTTGCTGCATGTAATGAACCCATTTTCATCTGAACGTCGAAAGCAATCCAAAATTGCTTTGGTTTGCGTATAACCTCACGCTCTCAACCAATTAGGTCATAGAATGATAAAAACCAACCGCGTTATCGTAAATCGTGTTTTTCCCGTGTAACGGGAAGTCTACTCTGAGTTCTTATTATGATATTTTCCCTCATTTTGATGGTGGATGTGACTAAACTAACTGCATGTTCGGTTTGTTGCAGCATCTATTGCAGCTCCTGTTATAGATGTTTACATTAGCAGTGAAGGTTGCGATGATCGGCCAAAGACACCGAACACAT